CAAAGTCATTGATCTTTACCTTTATGACAAGTGCATCGTCGTGGGGGTAGTGGACCCCGCGCACATCGTCTTCGGTGAAGAATATGGGGTCTTCCATCCTAGGCCGCTTTGGAGGATTTTGTTCTTCTCTGGCGGCCTCCCGGGTTGATGCCCGAGCTGTTGCCGAGGTGCACCCTGCTACGATTGATCCTCCAACAATCACGTGGATTTTTCCCCAAACTGGTCTTTCCTCCGGGGGCTGCTTCTGCGGTTCTACTGGCCGGCTGCTGGATTCGGGAGCGTCTTTGCTGCGCTCTCCCTGCTGACCTGTATTTTATTATTATTATTATTATTATTATTATTATTATTATTATTATTATTATTATTATTATTATTATTATTATTATTATTATTATTATTATTATTATTATTATGCTGTACAAAATTTCGTAGGTACCCGTGACGGATGAGTTCCTCTATCTCGTCGCGGAGATTATTACAATGCTCGGTGCTATGACTGTGGTCCCTATGGAAGCTGCAATACAAGTTTTAATTCCTCTCGTTCGGGTTTCCCTTCAGACGAGGTGGCCACTTCACATACGGGGCGTCTTTGATCGTCATTAAGATCTCGGCCCGCTTCGCATTTAAGGGCATGTAGTCCGCCCGACATGCTAGGGGAGCTCGGAACGGCTGGCTTGGCTTCGGCCCCCGAGCTGGGTCTCTCTTTCTCCTGTCATCTGAGCTGGGTCTCTCTTTCTCCTGTCCGCGAGCTTGAGGAATTCAACCACGGTCGCGGGCTGGTTAACTACCATGTGCCACCTGAACTCCTTGTGTGTCACACCCCTCTTGGCTGCCGTGAGTTGTACCGCGGGGTCTAGGCGCGGTATCTAGAAGCACGCGTCATTGAACCGTTTGACATAGCCCCGGATGGACTCCGCTTGCTAGTAATGAAGTGCGCGGTGAAGCTTCTTATTGACCCGGGGCCAGGTTCCTGTACCAGGTGCGGGCCACTCCCCTGAAGGTGGTAGTGAAGGCCATGCACATGCAGGACTCGCTGGCCCTCGCCAGGTGAATTTGGGACTGGAAAGCATCGACGTGGTCATTGGGGTCAAAGGACCCATCATACTTGTCTAAGGGAAGGAGTTTGAAATCTTTGGGCATGGGAACCGCAAGGAGTTTTGATGACAGGGGGGAAGGAACTGAGAGAATAGGGGCAACTTTTACCTTGTCCGAGCTTGTTTCTTCTTTACTTTGGAGCTCGGGCAGGATGCGGGTGGTAGTTCGGCGACTTCGCCGGCGTCTTCACTACTGCTTAGAAGGCCTGGTATTGGCACTACTTGCCTCGGTGTTGCCGAGCTCGATCGGCCCGGACTGTTGGTAGTTCGCGGCCAGGACGCCAAATTGGTTCTCTGTGAGAGGGAGCTCGAACTTAGAGTGCCGAGGTGCTGACTTCGACAAGGAGGTTCCTGATCTGTCGGCGAGCTGCGAGGCGGGGGTAGTTAGTCTTTCCCTCCTGCTCGGGGATGAGGCCTGGCTTCTGGAGGGGTTGATCGGCTGGGAAGCTTCCCCTTGGCGAAGGCGCCCGCCCTGAGGAGAGGGCTTGACCGGCCTGACAGCAGGGTGCCGAGGTGGGAGTTGTGGTTGGTTCAGAGGCAGTTGGGAGAACTGCTGTTGATAGTGACGCTAGGAAATGTGTAGTACTTGCTGCTGATGGAGCTGATGTTGCTAGAACTGCTGCATTTGGGCTTGCATTGCCTGCATGCACTGCAGCAAGTCATCAAGCTGGTTCTGGCTGGTCGCCAGAGGGACAACAGTTGGTTCGGCGAAAGTGGTCTCGATAGGGGGGGGAAGGGGAACATTCATAGGTGCCACCGCACTTGGTGCATTGAGGCTAGGGATTCTGTCCGTCGAGAGGGGGACAGTGAACTGTCCGATACATACAGTGGCGGGCTGAGGGTGTTCCCCTACAACATTCAAGTCGGCATTGTGCCTATTGCTGCTAGAGGAAGCCATGGAAGCTAAGGTTTCTTTGAGAAAGAGAGAGAGAGAGTTAAAGGTTAGGGGAGGCTTTTTGAAGTCTTCCCACAGACAGCGCCAAATGATGATGCGCAATCCGGTCAGTCCTAGCTGCCGGTTACCTCGCCTCTGATGGGATTGGAGGTGCCTAAAACAAGGAAGAAAATGGAGACTTCTGGGGAGGAACTCGGTTGGAACACTCCGAAGCTCAAGTTAGTGCTCTTGAGAAGGCAAGGGAAATGGAGAACTTCAAGACCAGAAAGCGCAAGAATCACATACCTCCTTCTTTGGGAGATGGGGGCCTTTTATAATCACCCTATACACTCACTCCCATATCCCTGCCAGATCGGGCATCATCACTTCCGCCAGATCGGGTGTCATTATTCCTGTCAGACGCCAATTCGGGTGTCATAGCCTTTGCCAGTTGCCAGTTCGGGTGTCATAGCCTCTG